CTGAGTTTCCAAACTCTTAACATTTAGTGAGAACATTACTTATGCTGTAGTCTGCCGCTGTTGTTTCGATCCTCTCCAACATTCTCTACTCCTCTTGCATTTTCTTTTCTATCTTAGGACTTTTTTGTCTCTCTTTCTTTTACCATGAAAATCTACCTATTGCTGTTTTCCGTATATTTTCTTATATGTAAATTCTTGCCTAAATTCTTATTCAGTGACTGGATATTTAATCTGTGGATTTTCCAAATCCTCTCTTTTTAATTCTTTTACTGTTCATTCTAGAGCACGTAAATGTTTTTTACTTTTATAATTTCACCAGATGATAAATGATGGTAGAGTGAGAAGTTCATATTAAAATAAGCAGTTTGCCCTTTTAATAAAGATTCCTGGTAAAAAGTTTTTGATGCCAATGAATGCATGAAATAAATGTTTTAACCATTTGTGGATTGGAATCCTTTCACCATCCTATATAACTTAAAGTCAAAACTACAGTTTGCTCTTAGAATAATTTTATAATATCATAAACATATTACATGTAATTATATTAGTGTATGTAATTAATATATAACATAATAATTTTACCAAAAGCAAAGCTGCAAGTGTTAAAAAGAAAACCTAATAGTCACACCATTCCACACCACCTACTAAACTGCACACAGCTTGCAACAATGGGGAGGGGAAAGTTTTCTTCACAAATTTGAGAGGATTAAGTAGTTCTTACATAGAAAAGTCCTTGAATAGATTTAGAAATTAACCTGAAAAGTGAGGTTAAGGACAATGTCAAGTATCAAAATAAGCAACAGTTATGTCAATCAAAATACTTATAAGCCCGTGACTTAAGGAAGAAGAAAATTACCTGAGGAAATTGTGACATAGGCAGAAAGTATGCATAGGGATCCTACTTGTCATTTATATGCTTCTCTCACTCACTTTCAGCTTTTTTTGGCCCCAAGACATTTTTACGTTGCCCTGTGACTGTGGAAAACCAGCTATTGTCCCCAATGCCCTCTATCAGACTACCTTTTGAATGCAGGTAACTGTACTCAGCTATTTGCCTTTCACTCTACACAGGTTAGAATTTGTACTCTCCCTTGCTGTTAACTTTCCTGTTGACTGAAATAAAATTAATTCATACTGAAGTGTGGTTATAACCTTCCCTTCCCTTCAAGAAAATTTTCACTGAAAATATTTTTAAACTCAATGGAATTCTGAATTACTTTAATTTCTGGAAATTTCACAAAGAACAGAATGTTTCGTCACAATGCGTGTTTCCGTAAAATCAATAAACTCAATTGGCAAGTACAATGACATCAGTACAGAATGCAGCATTAGCACCACCAGGTAACAGTCACTGAACACAAAATATATTGATGCAATTGAATGCAGCACCCTACTTCTTCCTATTGGCTCTGTTTGGCCACATTCTGTCTTAGAGATGTTTATTAAGCCTTCTCTCTGTCTTTGTGAATTTTATTTTGTATAAGTCTTCCTTATTTCCTTCCATCAAGCTATTTTTATTTATATTTATTGCAGTTTCTTTATTAAAAATTTATATTTCTTAACTAGTTTTATTAAAATTGGTATTATTTTGTTAGTACTTGTTTGAGACAGGGTCTTGCTCTGTCACCCAGACTGGAATACCTTGGCCCAATCAAGGGTAGCAGCAGCCTCAACCTCCTGGTCTCAAGCTATCCTTCCATCTCAGCCTCCCAAGTAGCTGGGACCACAGGCATGCACCACCATGTCTAGCTAATTTTATATTTTATTTTATTTTTTGTAGAAATGGGGTGTCTCTATGTTGCTCAGGCTGGTCTTGAACTCCTGGGCTCAAGCAATTCTCCAGTCTCAACCTCCCAAAATGCTAAGATTACAGGCCTGAGCCACACCGCCTACTTATTAGATTCTTGGTTACAAAGTTACATGGTTCACCAAACCCATTTTTCCCTTAAGCTTGTTATTTTTATTGAATAATTTTGCAGAATTGTGAGGTTTTTTCAGGAATATATATCACATAATTATAGGAGTGTTTGTAAAGTATTTTAAAAGTGTGGGGAAAATATCCTTCCATCCTACCTCTTCTTTTTGTCCTTACTTTCTTGCAGGAGGCAGACTAGAGAGAAAGAGACAAAGGAACTTTTTTTCTTTCAGCTCCCTGCATTTTAAGTCTGTCATAAGGGTTTAAAGCTACTCAGTCAACTAAAATCACGTGTCTTCCCCTACAGTTATTATCAATAATGATACACTTAATTACCAAAGGTTTCAATTGAGTACAATTCCAATGTTACTTGTCATGTCTTAATTTTTACTAAAATTCTCTTAATTTTAATCAGGTCTAAGATTCTTTGTTTCAAATGTCTTTTCCTATGAGCATGTACATTTTGAGAAATAGTCTCTTTATATCATCTTCTTCCTATCACTTACTGTTTTGACACATTTTGGAAAAGGTTTGGAAGTCTGTAACTCTCCCTACTGTTGTGTTTAAGATTTTAATCAGGGCCTGTTCTAGGCCTAGAAAGTCCTGAAGAACATTCAGTTTCCTCAAATTGTCTTCATGTCTCAGATTTTTCACATAGTCTCTTGATTCTATAAAATGTAAAATGCTATAAATTTGGCTAAAAGGATGAGATCACATCAGTTATCCATCCCTATGAACAATGTGATGAGACACTACCTTTTGTAGGAAATAATGAGGACATATCTCAGAGTCTTCTGACCTTCTTATCCTCAGAGCTTCTGCAGGTATTCCAAAAAGTAGGAAGATATTTTCATGCCAAAAAATTTAGAAGAGAATAAGGTTACACACGTTCCAACAAAACATGTAATATGTATTATAAATGACAGAAGATAAATCAAGAAAAAAATTGGAGTATAGAAGTGGAGCCAGATGTAAAGTAAAAAAAAGCACAGTGAAGCATAAATGTGGCTCAGTTCTCTAGTAGCCAATGTGAGAAGGGTCATCTATCCAATATACTGTGTTCATTAGCTGAAACAAACCAGTTATTTAGAGGACATAGACTTACTTTTGGAACTAATAACAGAGAAGACTTTTTCTCTGAGGATTTCATGATCTATGTGATAAGTAAGGGAGTTTTTTGCACTAAGGATAAGTGGGCTGGCTCTTCTCAACCTTGCTTCATTCAACAGATTTAGTCGAAATGATGTTGGAACTCAGAAAATACCCCAAAATGAAGGCCTTGGAAGGAAAATTGTTTCTCTGATCCCTTGCCCTCCTGTTTCTCAGTCCACTTCTCCCCTTAGGCTAGTCATAGAAACTAGAATCACTTCTCCCCAAGGCAGGTCATAAACACCAGAACCCCCTTTCCCCAAAGCCAGCCATAAAACCTAAAATCATTACTCACTTTCCCTCTGCCTTTCTGTATAAAAACTACTCATAAAGAAATTATGTGACCTATCTTCTTTGCCTATGGGTTATAAGAGCCCCATTCCAGAGATGGTGTTGCCTCACACCAAGAAGGAATGCACGCATGCTCAGAGACGCCAAGAATCTAGACAGACAGGTCCTGCTGGGATCCCTCGCTCAGTCTGTTAGCATGAGATCATATCCTTTTTGTGCAATCATATTTCTACATAGTCATCCATATTTTATTGAACCTCAGCATAAAAATGCACACTTTCTCCTTTATCTTTGGGTCTTCATTCTGAGGGCTCCTGTGTGTACACATTATATAAATTTGTATGTTTTTGCTCCAATTAATTTGCATTTGTGAGGTGACTTCTCAGAGAAACTTCAGAGGGCCACAGAGAACTTTTCCCTTGGCCCTGACAGTCTTTCCAGGCTAAGGATGCAAATTACTGAACTGATATAGGTAATTTTATTTCCCATACTGTATACTAGTTCTTAGAGGGTAGAATTTGCTTGTTTTTCATAGAACTTGAATATTTTATAGTTGTTATTAAATCATAAAATGAATGGATAAAAAGATGTACATATGGGAGGAGGGGGCCCACATTGACTGATTCATCTCTCCTCAGCATTGGGTGGTACAAAGTGTGAAAATGCTAACACGGCTGGCTATAAGCAAAACGTTAGCCAGTTTTGTTTGCTGGAGGTATCTTTCATACTTACCTTTTAAAAACTCCTTCTGACCACTTTTAGCCTCATCAGATGCCTCTGCTCCTCAGCACCAAGCACCTATGAGTTCATCTACCTTTGCTACTGTTTTGAGGAGTCAGTTTTCTGGGTCACTCAGAGTGCCACATTTGACTAACTGTTGGGAAAATGGGTATGGGGGTATTTATGTCAATGAGTGCCTAGTAGTCGTCAAGTGTGAGATCCTATACACTGAAAGTGGTTCTTTGAGGCCTATGAGATACATCTTTAATGAGATTTCCTTAAGCTAAGGACGTTTCCCTTTCCTTCATTCATCAAACAATAAAAACTGTTGTCACTCATTCAGGAGGTATGTGCTTCCGTTTTTTTTTTTTTTTTTTTTTTTTTGAGATGGAGTCTGGCTCTGTCGCCCAGGCTGGAGTGCAGTGACTCAATCTCAGCTCACCGGAAGCTCCGCCTCCCAGGTTCACGCCATTCTCCCGCCTCAGCCTCCTGAGTTGCTGGGACTACAGGCGCCCACCACCACGCCCAGCTTGTTTTTTGTAGTTTTAGTAGAGACGGGGTTTCACCGTGTTAGCCAGGATGGTCTCGATCTCCTGACCTAGTGATCCGTCCGCCTCGGCCTCCCAAAGTGCTGGGATTAAAGGCGTGAGCCACCGTGCCCACTACTATTTTTAATTAAAGCAGGCAAGATTAATATAATAAACAAGTTAATTTGTGTTTGGAGTTAGGAATTAAAAGCCAAGAATTAGCTATGTAACCTTAGGCAAGTCCTTCAATATCTGTATAGCTCTTGCTCCTGGTATGTAAATTGAAATAATCTCCTGATATGTAAATTGAGATAATTACTTGCCCTTTCTAACACCAAGACCATCCCAGTCTTTAGTCCATTATCATTTATTGTACTTACCATTTTATCTTATGAACATATCATTTGAAGGAAGAAACTGTGTTTTATTGGTTTGTATCCTAAATGCTTATCACAATGACTGTTACATTGTATACTCAATAAAACGTCCATTGGTTCAATGAATTAATGAAAATATTTGGAAATCTTCACAGTGCAAAATAAATGTAAGTCCTTTGAGGGAAGCAGGTCGAACTTTACCATGTTTTCCTCTCCTTTGGGCCTGGTAGTTCCTGCCTGTGGTCCAATGGTACCCAGCAGTCAGTACCAGTCCATATAGACAGATTGGACAGTGCCTGGATGTTGATACATTTTACACCTTCATCCTTCTGGAGGTGTCCTCATTCCAAAGGTCCTGAATTCCCTTTGGATCATTTGGTGTACAGTGTCATACATTGCTCCTCACGTACAACCACATACTGTTGAATACCTGTAAAAAAATCAAAATGTTGAGTATTTATTGTTGCACGTTTTGCATGCATCCAAGTGCTCCAGGTTTACGACTTCCATAACTATGACACTGAGGATTTATTGAGATCTTATTACATACCGGACATTATGTAGTCACATGTATTAACTCATTCAATCCTCACATGTCTATGACGTAGGTACTGTTGTAATCTCCATTTTGCACATGAGAGGCATTTCCTCCCTTTTGAAGGAAAAAAAGTGTTTAAGTATTAACATTTTGCCCAAGGTTGCAAAAAGTGGTAGAGCCTCGGTTCTACTATGGGCTGTCTGCCTCCAGAGTCCAATTTTGTAGCCATTATGTTATGCTAACTTTTGACTAATTGTTTCAGTCGCTGTATTTTTATAATTCATTTTTCTTTTGGGAAGGAATAATACAAATCCTGAAGCTTATTTTATGGAATACATACCCTTTACTTCTATAGTTTCTCCAAGTTTTAACTGAGGTTCCCTTTATGTGCTTATACTGATAATGATAACTCCATAGTATTTATCAAATACATAAAAAATAGAATTTGGAAGAATGTTCTCGTTTATCACTTAGTAAAGGAATTGTTAAATCAAGTTTTTAAAAAACAAACCAAACTACCAGAAACCTACTCAAAATCACACCCTAAAATTCTAAAGAAATGTTTGATTTAAAACATAGAACACCTTATAAGGAGCTATTTTTTTCCCGCTAGCTTAACTCAAGTCTAGCTTGCTGTAATTGTAGCATTTACATGAGATGATCACTATCTTAGCATCAAAATGGTGATGGTTATAACTGTACTGCTTGCTACTCAATTATCTTGTAAATTGATAATTTTGTACATGTATGTCTCTCCATGATGGAAGATCTTGTGTTACATACCACCAAAGTTTAGCAAATTAGTTTTTATACTCTAATACTTTAATATGCAATGAATAAAAGGGCAGAAAAATCAGAATTACAATAAATGTTAGGCTATTTCAGAACACCAGTTTTTCACACCTATTTTCTTAGCATACAGAAGCTCAAAAATCATACGTTAAGCAGTTTGAATTGTCCTGAAGTTATATTCTGAAGGGGCTGTAACACTTAAGAACTGGTAATATTAAAAAGGCAAAAGCATTATAACTCATAGACAGCACACAAGACTTCTTCATCTATAAAATGTGAGAATGTCAATGTTTTATTGGCTACAAGGATAAGGAGGGAAACATCAGTGAAATAAATTTGATAACAAGATTCACACTTCATTACAAGTGATTTTCCTAAATTCACAACTTTCACATTTGGCTGCGTGAAAGAGAAAAAAAAAAAAAAAAAACTAAACTAAAAAGGGAATTTTCACTACTTGTAAGTAGGCCAACTCACATGATCCCTCCAAATGAGAGTTTAAATGAGAATGAGTACACTTTTCTAGCTGGGAAAATATTTTCCTTAATTAAGTGAGTTTAAATAATTTACCCATGGTGATGAATAAGCCCTTGGGCTAGGCTCAGAAACCTCCTCTACCAGCCTGTTTCATAAGAACTACACAGATATTTTTATAGGACATACATGAAATATTTGTTTTTTGGTTGTAATAGCAGAGACAAGAATTTTGTAGTCCTCTACATAAGAATCCATACTATTTCTGTCTTTCAGGTCTTTCTCCTAAATGCACCTTCTGAGTTTCTTACATATGCCGTACAATTACAAAGACCATTTTACTTAACAGATTAATGTGTTCATCAACTTTAGCACCCTATGTATGTGGTAAAAGTAATGAGAACAGGGCTATTTAAACTGCTTCCTCATATCCTTCCCCTTAATTACCAGTAGTGAAGTTTACTTAGAAAACAATGAGGAAGTCTCATAGCCTACAGGCACCTAGGGATGGGGAATTAATTCAGACTGAGAAAATATGGCTCTGGAGAGATACTAAAGTCGTATTGGAAATGTATGAAGTCTAAAAGAACTCTTTCTCCTCAGCTTCAGACTTAGATAAGGTGTGAGGTGTCAGGAATGTGCATGGACCCTTCAAAAACTGACATTTTCATCTGTGTTCTTCTGCCTCCCTCCCCCACGAAACAAAATATACGGAAATACAAGTGCTTGGTACTACATGCTTTTGAGGCTTAAAAGCCCAATAATAAGCACGCTGTATCCGTTGTTGAGGGAGATAACTTTTTAAGTAAACATCACCAGAAGAATCTCTTCAAATGGAGAATGAAGTCACTCTCCCTCCCTAGAGGCTATGAGGGAAAAGGGAGACAGATATTCCCCCTACTTGCACGTGGGATCTCCCTTTCTCCTCCGACCTCGCTATGTCACTCCCACGCAGGTCAGGCTGCCTTGGGAGGTAGCTGGGAGAAAAGGCAACACTCAGTCCTCCATGGCAAAGTCTTTGGTCTTCTCCTCCTGGTCTCCCACTTTGTAGCGCAGCAGCACGCGCAGGCGACGGGGGTTGTCCCGGGAGGGCAGCAGCGTGATCTCTCCTGAAACATCCGTGTCTTGCTCCACTTGCACTGGCTCGTTTAGGTAGAGAAGCGCCTGTTTCCAGTGCGTGGCGGGGTGAAAAGGCGAGGTGGACAGCACCAGGGGTTTCTCCGACTCCCCTCCAGGGAAGGTCACCTGGAACCAGATGGCAAAGCCATGCATGGGCGCCGAGCCATAGCAGCTGCAGCGGAAGCGCCCGCCCACTCCGGCCTCCAGCTCCTGCTCCAAGCCGGCGCGGGAGAGCTCTAGTTGCGCAAAGCGCTGCGGCCGGGCCAGCACGTCCTCGCCGGACAATCCCTGCACAACGATCTCCGAATGGCCCATGAGGCAGCGCGTGGCGAAGCCCTCCAGGCAGCTCATGTCCACACCATAGTGCTGCTTCACCTGGCTCCAGAAGCCCAGGCGCCATTCCAGCATCTGGTCGCTGATAGGGGCTATGAAGAGCTCGGCGGAGGCCGGCAGGAGAAGACCGCCCTCCTTCAGCCACTTGGTTCGCGCGTGGAGGACGGAGCTCAGCATGGACTCGTGCAGGAGTCCGTAGCCCATCCATTCGCTCACGATGGCATCCACCTGTTCCGGCAACTCCACAGTCTCCACCGGTCCCGGCAGGACGTGCACCCGGTCCTCCAGCCCGTTGAACCTTACCACCTCCCGGGCCTGTTGCCAGATGGCGCTGGCCTCTACCGCGTACACGCGCCGGGCCCCGGCCTGGGCACAGAAGATACTCAGAATGCCGGTGCCCGCGCCCACGTCAAGAACCGTCTTGCCTCGCAGTGCTGCCCAGTTCCGCAGGATACCCAGGCGGTAGGCATCGGTGCGGACGCGGTCTGCGATCATCTCCTCGTGGACGGAAACGTCCGAGTAGCACTCATAGTACAGCTGGTCCCGCTCCCGCTTAGTCCTCCGGGGTCGCTCCAGGGCCGCCTCCCGCTCTGCGCCATCTTCCTCTTCAGTTCCCTCCCCTCCTTCGCCGCCGCCCCCCGACTCAAGCTTTCTTTTCTTGGGCTGCGACATCTTGGCCGCTCTGGCCGGCTCCCGGCGGGCGTAGCGCGGCACGGCGCGGGCTCCAGGAAACGGGGGCTTCTGGGACTTGTAGTGCGCGCTTGTCCTTCCTACTTCCTGCGGGGTCCCCCGGCCAGCGGCGCGGAAGGTCTTCCGTGCCTACCCACGGGAGGTGTTTTGTATTGCTCTTCTGGTGTCTTGGCATCCCTTTTGCCACCCACGACACCCACATTTTGAGATCCTTTCATTCCCCCTCCCACCCTTAGCTTCTCAGTTTTTTGCTTTCACTCCCTTCCTGAAGTAGACACGCCTACTTAAGACTAATAATCCACCTTTGTTTCTTCTGCTCAACTCACCTCTGGTGTTTTTTTTTTTTTTTTTTTTTTTTTGAGACAGAGTTTCGCTCTTGTTGCCCAGGCTGGAGTGCAATGGCGCTATCTCGGCTCACCGCAACCTCCGCCTCCTGGGTTCAAGCGATTCTCCTGCTTCAGTCTACCAAGTTGCTGGGATTACAGGCGCACGCCCCCACGGCTGGCTAATTTTATATTTTTGGTAGAGACGCGGTTTCTCCCTGTTGGTCAGGCTGCTCTCGAACTCCCGACCTCAGGTGATCCACCCGCCTTGGCCTCCCAAAGTGTTGGGATTACAAGCGTGAGCCACCGCGCCGGCCTAACTCACCTCTGGTTTTATTCCACCAAATTAACATGGCGGCACCATACACACACTACCGTCTTGACAACTGTAACTCTTGAAGTGCTCCAGATGTGGCAATTTAGAAATTGCACTACACATTTCTCTTTTCTGTGCAAATGTAACAAAATTAAAACCTAACAATGCAAAATATTGATTCTGATTCCAGTATGACCACTAATTAATTGAGTGATTTAGGGCAAGTAATAGAACTTCTCTGGCCTTCAGTTGCCCATTCACCCACCAGAGAATCTTCATTGCGGTTGGGGAAGAATTATGTTTCTGGTTCTACTTCGAAGAATAGTTACTTGGCTTTCGGCCCTGCTCTGATAATTCTGTGGCTCACTCAAGAGTTAAATCCAGAAAAGTGCAGACTCAAGAGCCGTCTGATACAAGCAAACTCGTTGCTAGGTGTATTCTATATATATATGCATTTTTTTCTCTCAGAAATAATGGAATCCCTTTCTTTCGATCACTTTCTCAATGCAACTCATTTTTTCCTGTGTTTCCTTGTCTGGGCAATATTGACACTCTCCTCTTTCTCTTCTATTTTTCTTGTAGTCAACCATCAGCTGTTACTCTCTTTTTGTTCATAATGGAAATAAAATATGTTTTTAAATATGTGTGGCATTTAAATAAGTGTCTGTGTTATTAACAAGGTGAACATAATGCTGTTTTCTCCCAGCTTAAAAAAGGCATCCAGAGGAAAATGGACTTTTATTTTCTTGTGGTCTTGAATTATTTCCTTGTAACCAATGGGCCTGCATTCCTTGTCTGGGATCAAAGTCCTTTCAACCTATTTTCTCTATTAATCTTTCATTAGCAGAATAGGTTTATTGATGTGGCATCCTCAGCTGTACTCTACTTCTAACTCAAGACTCTCCATCCTGGCTGCTCATTAGAATTCTCTAAGGAGCTTTTAAAAAAATACCTATTCCTGGGTCTACCTCAGACCAATTAAATCAGAATCACTCCAGTGGAACCTGGGTTTCTAGTTTTTAAAAGCTCCCCAGAGAATTCTAATGGGCAGCCAGAGTGAGAACAACTGTTTCTCACTATAATGATCTTAGTTAAATCTTGTTTCGTTATTTTAATTGGGTAAATTATATTTTTTTAGTGGCCTGGGCTCAACCATTTAAGGCTAAAAACCTTGAAGCATTTCTTCTCTTTTTCTGCCTTGATTTAATATCTTATTTTAAGATAATTGAGGCCCAGTGTAGGACATCAGATTAAAGTTGTAAATGCGACCACTTTAATACATTACTTTTATTCATAGGTTGATGCTTAGTGTATACTTTTGCCATTCTTTCTTTCCTCAAAATTTCACCTTTTCCTTTTAAATACGTTCATTCTTTCACACAATTTTCAATTCACTTCCTTATGGTCTCTTTTAAGAAAATTCTGAATATAAGTTTCATTGGTTTTACCTCCAAAATACATCTTGAATCCATCTGCTTTTCTCCTTTTCTATTGTCAACATGCTAGTTTAATCTTCCACATTTACTTGCCTGGAAATTAGTCTCCTAAGGGATCACTCAGCTTCTAATCTCAACCCTATCTAGTCCCTTCTCTACATAGCTGAAATAATAAGCTTTTATAAAACCCATGGAACCATGTCATTCTTCAGTAACTTCCCATGTTAGTTACTGGAACAATTCAGTAACTTCAGGTAACTTCCCATCTCATCTCATACCATTTTTCCCAACTCGTCACTGGGCTCAAGATATACTGGCTTCTAATAACACATTTCTTTCCCGTATCAGGTCTTCATGCATAATCTTCCGGTGCTGAGAAAATTGTTTTTCTCCTTAGCACTTCACTTTAATGGCTTCTTCTCATCCTTCATGTCTCAACTTAAATGTTACCTTATGAAAAAGGCCTTTCCTGGCTACCTTAAATAATATTTTCAAACCCAAGAGACTATTTTTTTCCCTCCTAGCATTCATTATTATCTGTATGTGTTTAATTAATTTATTTGTTTTCTATACAATATCAACTCCAGGAGACTTGGACTTTTGTATTCCCACTGTTGTAGTCGCTAGCACTAAAACAGAACCTGGCACATAGAAAGTGTTCAATAAATAGTCTTCAACAAAGTCTATGGTGGATGCACAAATTATTGTTCATACAGCAAGGAATAGAGAGTTTTGCTTTGTTAGTTCAGTGTGACAGTGTGACTTGGTAAACTCTGAGATAGATCCAGATATAGATAGAATGTAGAATGCGCCCAGAAATGAGAATAGTATAAATTTTAAACACTCTTAATGCTTCTAGATAGAATAATGGTAAGCACCAAACGTTACCGCTAGAGTAGATTTAAAAAGGCCTGTGGCACTTTCCTTTCCTGCACTTGTATTTGATGTAGAGAAGGAGTTCCTTACTGATCTTTTTTACCACAATGAGATGTTTTAAGTAGGAAAGGGACCTAGATCACAGCCCTTCCCCAAGCCGTGCAGCTCAGCAGCAAACCACCTGCGTGGGAGAAGAGTTGGAGTTCTGCTGGCAGAACATTCTTTGTATTTTCATTTCAGTGGTCTGCTTGCCACGTCTATTCAATGCTCAAACCCAGTTTTTCAAACAAATGATCTTGAAATCAATTTAGTGCATCTTGACCACTATTAAGAAGAAATAATAGATCAGAAAATGCTAAATGTGTCAAATGAGTAAAGGTGGGTATTATTTCATAAAACTTGTTTCATGGCTCACACCTGTAATCCTAGCACTTTGGGAGGCCAAGGCAGGCAGATCACGAAGTCAAGAGATCAAGACCATTCTGGCCAGCATGGTGAAACCCTATCTCTATAAAAAATACAAAAATTAGCTGGGCGTGGTGGCACGTGTCTGTAGTCCTAGCTACTCAGGAAGCTGAGAGAGGAGAATCACTTGAAACTGGGAGGGGGAGGTTGCAGTGAGCAGAGATTGTGCCACTGCACTCCAGTCTGGTGAAAGAGCGAGACTCCATTAAAAAAAAAAAAAAAATTACTGTATGTATACTTCTTGCTTCAGGTTATGGTTAAAATTTTGAAATATACAGCTTTCTGTTCTCCAAAAACACTATGAATTTTGCGATTTCTGTACTTTTGCTTTGGGTGCCTGTACTCTTCCTCTCACTCATCTTTTTAGCTAATGCTCAAATGTTTTTTCAACCAGTCTATGGCCCGTTAATACATATAACTCTTTTTGCACTTGTATCATTGTATCAGAACTATTTATATATCTGGCTTTGGATTGTGGGCTTTGAACACCAAGATTTTGTACTTTTCACTTTTGTGCTGAGAACCTAGTACATTGTGCTGGAATCTGAACTTTTCTATATAACAGATTTTGCTCCCAAGTATACTGAGGTTCACAGATGTGCCTTGGATGACTGGGAGAATCATGATCTATTTTCTGTATCAAATGCACTCATTTATTTGTTCAACCATTCATTTTTTCAACAGGCATTCTGGACTTTTATCATTCTAGAAATAAGGAATAAAGTAAACAAAAAGCAGACATTCTTATCTCTGAGGAACTTATATTTTTGTGTTAATGTTATCTATTATTATTATACTTTCTTACTAGCAATTTATTATACCACTTTTAAATCTCAACTCTCATGTATTATTTTATCCTGGATGTGCTGATGTGATTTCCTCCCACAAATAGTTATTTCTAAATTTCTTTCCCTTTTTAATTCAAAGGTCTATTATTTAAAAATATTTTTAAAAGCCTAGTGTAAGGATTGAAGATAGTTCCTTCAGGATTTCAAAAATTCACTGTAATTCTCAAAGTGTGTGTTGAGGAAGGGTAAAGGAGCAAAGGCATGAAAAATGTTATAACTATCTCTTTGATATGAATATTCATTAAATGATGTAGTTCTTGCCATTTTGCAGTTACTTGGAAGCTGTCAGCATAGAAAGAAGTATTTCTATTAAAAAAATTATAGAAAATAAAGACAAAAGTGGTGAATTTTGTATCTAAACAAATTGGAACATCAAACATAGAAAGCCTAGGTATATGTTATTATCTTGATATGTATAGTACCTTTTAGGTCCATGGTGTATTGGCCCAGCTATTAAACCCCATACTAAAACAGTTGAATAGCAAATTCATAGCTTCTTGATGATATTATTATAAGTGGGTGTAATTCTTTAAAAAATGTTTGTATTGAATTGTTTAGGTAGTATAAACAAGGATATTATACACTTAGTTAATAATTATCAGTTCAGTTTATATTTATTGAGCCCACTTAAAATACAGAATATAGAACTGTAACAATTGCAGGTATAAATATTGATTGTGACATCTTAACAATTTCTACTATAAATCAGGCCAACCATAATAAAAATAGTAAAGAAAAATGAGAATGTAAATTATAATGTGGGGAAAAGTTATGTCTCAGCGC